CGAGCTATGCTTGGCGGGGGGGTGCAGTGCCCCCCAGCAGTGCTTGGGGGGAGTAGAGACGTGGGGCAAAAGCGAGCAGCGAGGATTGAGCTGAATTTCTGCTGCGAACGGCAGAGCTGAGTCTCCAGGGACCTTTTGGGACCCCCAGGGACCTTTTGGGACCCCAGGGACCTGTTGGGACCCCAGGGACCGTGCTGGCCCTGTCCACCACGGCTCCGTCTCCCTGAGCACGAACATGCAAAAGGCACCGTGACGGGGTGGGTGAAGGGGGGACACCCCGGCCCCGCAAGCAGCAAAATCCCTCGGCGTGCTTTCAGCATGCCCGGCGAAACTTCACGGCTGGGGGAAAAAAAAAATCCGCTGTTTTCCCGGTGGCAAAGTTGGGAGATCAGGCTTTTGTTCCGTTATGAAACTCATTATTCATACAGCGAAAAAACCTCCCATCACCCTCCGGGGGGGTTGGATCAGCCTCATAAAAAATATGTTCCCTACGAGGAGGAGGGTCTTTTTGCCATCAAGGTGATGGAGTTTCCCAGAGCTTGGTGGTGAAATAAATAAATAACGCGGCTTCAGGTCCTCCTCCGGCTGCAAGCGACTGTGTTCGAAACGTGGGAATGGGGCTTTTTATCAAAAAGTAATACAATAAGCCAATTTCTATGAATAAAAGATACCAGGGCTGCGCTGAGTCGTGGCCAAATTAATGGCAGCACCTCTCCGTCAGCAGACCTGAGGCTCGCTCAGACGTTAAATGCTGCGGATACGTCCGCTCACGGAGAGGAATAACCGTGGGGGGAGCGGAGAGGCCTGTTCCTGCCTGAAATGGGATTCCCCCCGGAAAGACGTGAAGCAGCGAAGGGGGAAGCGTGTGGCAGCTGCGTTGGCTGTTGGATCTGAGGTTGAAATGTGTTTTTCCAGCAGCGGCGTGGATGTTGCCCGCCTGCGGGGAGGCAGCCCTGGCCGGGGGCTCTCGCTCTGCAGGGCACCCGAATCCAGCATTTATTTACGCATCCAGCTTTGGCATTGCCAAGTTTTGCCTTAACTTGGCTGTTTTCTTCCCGTGCTGGGTACTGCAGGGCTGTGCATGAACGCACTTCTCAGATCCTGACTTTGTGTCCCATCCCATCCACTCCCCTCTTGCAGCTCTGCCCCGGGGGGGCTCTGGCAGTGCTCCCGAGGCTCGGACAGGCTGCTTTGCCCCAAACACCTCGTTAGGTGCAGTTTCATTAGCCAGGCAGTGGCACTGGGGTGTAGGAGGGGTCCCTGCATCCGGGGATGCCGAGATGCTGGTGTGTTCCAGCAGCTCACTTGTGTTTGCAGCCGTGGGAGTGTTTAAAAGCAGGGTGAGCTGTGCCCAGCACCTGAGCCGGGGGGGGAAAAATAGGTATTTTTGTCTATGAATATTGCCTGGCAAGGGAGAGAGGGTCTGGCTCCAAGGGAGAGAGGTTTTTGGGATGGAGCTGGCTCTGGCAGAGCCTTCCAGCAGGGTTGTGCGTGCACCGTGCTTTCCTGGGAGTGAGCATGCACGGGCAGGCTGAGCCTCACGGTCCTCGCTGCTGTTTTCCCCCCTCCATCCCTGTTTGGAGGTCTCCTGCAGGCATGTCTTCCTCAGGGATGAAGGAGTGACCCTGGATGCTGTGCCTGATTCACACTTGGGCATCGTGTCGCCGGGCCCTGGGGGAGAGGATGTGGAGGGGAGCGGATGAAGGAAAAGCAACATCAGGGAGAGATTTGTCTCTGCTTGACGTCAGCTGCCTGACCTTGCAGTGGCCGTGTGACACGGGCAGGGAGTCACAGCTCCCTCTACATACCCCATGTATTTAGGGTGGATTTGGCCTGGTGCAAGGGGGGCTCATTCAGCGGTGACACAGAGGTCCCTGCTGCAGGCTCGGTGCTCGGAGCTGCTGTGCAGGCAGTGCTGCACCTGATGCAGGATCTAAAAATGCTGCTGCGTGGCTGCAGGACCCCTTGAGATGCTGCTGGTCCTGCTCCGCGCAAGCACCTTGCTCTGCTCTGCTGCACAAGCCCAGAAGCGTCGCATCCATGTGCAAACTGGGTGAGTTGTTCCGTATCCCCTTTGCTGAGTGGCTCTGGGCCCGCTCTGCAGGGACGGGGTGGTCTGCAGGGCTGCCTGGTGCTGGGTGGGGGGCTCTCTCCTGCCTCTCCAAGACCCTCCACCTTTATAAATCACAAAGCCGTGGCGGGCAGCTGCTGCCAAGTTCATCACCAGGAGCCGGGAATGTATAAATAGGGCGTGCAGGCTTCGTCCTCCTTCCCACAGCATCCGCACCCACCAGCCTCCACCCCGGAGCAACTGAGCATGAAACCCCTCCATGTCCCAGCATCCACAGCTGGGGTCTGCCGTGGGATTTCCCCTCGATGCCTCTGCTTATCCGGCATCGCTGACTGATGCTCATCCTCCTTATCTCACGTGGGACTGGCGAGGGCATTGAACTCAGGAGCGGATCGGCAAGCTGCTCCGAAACCCAGCGGTGACAGGAGAAGAGATAATGTTCCTGCACGGGCTGTGGGTGTAATTAAGCCTCTTGGCTGAGCGCCTAATGAACGGCGAAGCTCTCGGGGCCACGGTCGGACTTTGCAGGGAGATTTTTGCTGCCGTCTCACCACGGTTGGTGCTGACTGGGGTGCGGGGGGATGCTCCGGCGGGACACAACCCGCCCAGAGGTCACATTGCTTCCTTCCCAAAGGAAGCAGAGGATCTGGGGAACAGGGCAAATTAACGGTCCAGGGTGAAAAACAGTCATTCTGGGAGTTTCATGACTTTCTGCTGCTGCTTTCCAGCTGCTCAGGGCTGGTGGTTAAATGGTCGCTGAGCACCAGCCGCTGCCCATCGGTGGTCGCAAAGCTGGGGAGGTAAAAGCTGCATGGCACAGAGAGGCTGAGGGCACGGATGCGTCCCCTGACCCACCCATACATCCCTGAGCGGGCTCAGGTCCTGGTGAGAGTGAGCGCTCAGCCTGTGCCTTTCCCTTCCCGGGAGTGGTGTGCAGGATCTGGCTTATTCTGGGCTGAAATTGGGTTTGTTCAGCCTGGAGAAGGGAAGGCTCCAGGGAGACCTTATTGCAGCCTTCCAGTGCCTGGGGGGGCTACAAGGAAGCTGGGGGGGACTTTTTCCAAGAACAGGGAGTGACAGGACAAGGGGTGACAGGTTTAAACTGGAAGAGGGGGATTGAGATGGGACATCAGGAAGAAATTATTCCCGCAGAGGGTGGGAGCACTGGGACAGGTTGCCCAGAGAAGCTGTGGATGCCCCATCCCTGGGAGTGCCCAAGGCCAGGCTGGATGAGGCTTGGAGCAACCTGGTCTAGTGGAAGGTGTCCCTGCCCATGGCAGGGGGTGGCACTGGGTGGGCTTTAAGGTCCCTTCCCAACCTAAACCATCCTGTGATTCCATAATTCTATGAAATCTTGGGCTTTGCTTTAGGCACAGCAATTCAAATGGCCTGGAGCTGTGAGGCTGCTAACCCCCCCTCACCCCCCATGTGATGCCCCAAGCCCCTTCACCCAGCTCCCGGCCGCGAGAGCAGGCGCAATCAGGCTCAGATCGCTGCAATTTGTGCAGCTTTTCGTGCCGGAAAGCTTTTCCCGGCACAACGGAGGAGCCTGACAAACTCCCCGAGCTTTGTGGCTGATTGCAATGGACAGGTTTTAGCTCCCAGAATATAAAAACCTTTTTGCAAAACACTAACCTCAGCTAAGGGGAAAGGGAAGGGAAGGGGAGAAAAGAGCTGATTTCAGCAGCTGCAGTTTGCTGTATTTTTCATCTTGCATCAGCAAGTCAGGAACACAAATAATCTGGTCTTATATGCTTCAGTGATGCTGGTGCTGAAGAATTTCCCAGCCTCCACTGGCTGTAGCTCCCCAGCATCCAAAAGCAGGGTGATGCTTCATTTTCCTGAGTTTTCTTCCCCCTTTTTCAGGGTATTTGTGGCTGAGGAGGGGACGGATCCCACCCAGCCCCCCGCAGAACGCCCTGCATGGGTTGGTGAGGTGCATTTCTGCAGGAAAAGAAACCCTTTCTTTTTGGATTGGGGTTGGGCTGCTAATTCCAGAGTGATGTCCCGGGAAGGGGGGAGCCTTGCTTCATCGCCCCAGGGAGGCTTGGCTTGGATGTGCGAGGGAAGGAGCGGATCCAGGCTGGCTTGGTATTGATTAAACACCAAACAAGGGAACAAAATGCCTTTTTTTTAAAAAAAAAAAAAAACACCAGATCCTCGTCTTCACGCCCATTGTTTAGCACAGACAAAATGCCATCTATAATGGATGTTTCCGTGACAAACAGCGGAGCG